TTGACTTTTAAATTGGATTATAGCGAAACTTTACAAAATTCTTTAGATCATGATCATAAAAATGCAAGATAAATTCATCTAGCTGTAGCTGAGCAAAGTTTAAACAAACAAAGCAGCCCAGAGTGAGTCATGTAGGACAGCGTGCCACTGCCAACAGACTTGGATAAAAGCTCTAATGTGTAGTTTAAACAAAGAAATGTGCTATTTATCCTGGATTAAAGAAGCTGAAATGCACTCTTTTATTGGTCACAAAGTGACTTAATATTTGCATCAGAGAAAATTTCAAATGCCTGACATTAACAATTTCCTGTTTGTGTTAATCTGATGTAGGATCTAGCAGGGTTCCACTGATCTGTACAGTCCACCACATATTGAATGGAGCTTTTTGAGTGCTTCCTGGTGTTACCGAATCCCTTTTTCTGTTTTATGAATTGAGAGAGAATTCAAAGGCATGGAACCTGGTGGAAAGAACAGATATTTTCTGTCAGAATTAAGCGCAGCAGCTGCACAAATACACTCTGGTTCCTAAATAGCTGACAGTTGAAGCTATCAGGTCCAATTTACAGAAATTAAAGGTACTGAGATATGTTTTCACATATTCAGTTGCATCTCCTCTGACAGTATGGCCATATGCTTGTATACTTTTAATACTGACACATATTTTAGTGTCTGCAACACTTCTTAGTAACTGCAACGCTTTTGAGATTTTTAATCCTTCAAGAATAAAGAGAATAATAAAAATCTACTTTTGGACAAACAGTTGTAGGAGAAGATGATCTTAAACTTGCTTGATGGTCCATTTGCTGTATCCTTTAATATATTCTGCTTGTCTCCTTTCTACTAGGAGATTTACAGAGCCTGATGGGAGAATCAGATTGAGAAATTAGCTTACAGTTTAATTATTTTTTACTGTACACATTGGCTACATAAGAGATCCTTAGAGGACCATCATCCTTGGGCTCAAGTCTTCTGTGAAAAAGAAAGGGAAACACTTCAGATTGTGGCTGCACAGCACTTACTACTCTAACAGAGTTAATCTGAGAGGGGAGTTTATATTGAAATAAGAGAAAGACACAGAAGCACACACATGAAGTTTTAAGCTGAATTATCAGAATCCTGAGTAATGTTTGGTAAATCATGAAAAGCACAACCATCTAGAAATGTGCTGTAAACTGGTATGTTTAAGAATGCATATTACCGATAGATAAACAAGCAGGCCACATATACATTCTCTGTTGACATTTATTGATTCTTTTTAACAAGAAAACATGACTGACATCCATCATTTCTTTTAGCAAAACCTGTTAGACTTTACAAGCTGCTGCTGCTGCTTCAACCACAGCAGCCTGCTGCTGTTATATTAAGAGTTTCGATGGTCAGTGGATGAAGGAAAGAGCAGAATGCTAAGCAGAAATACCATGCAAAGGTCTGAGCATATGTATTTGATATAAATATCATAATTTTATAGAGGTATCTATATCAATATGCACCCCACTTCCTTTAGTTACTTTACAAGTGAATACCAAGTATTCAACTGAATACTGAACAGAATTTTTTATTTATTATTTTTGATTTATCAGAACAGACTAGTTGGAGTGAGTTTTTTCAGGTTCTTTGTACTTATTCCAATAAAATGGATGTTTCTTGCAAAATAAAGAGGCAAAAGATTTGCCTTTTGTATTGTGTCCTCTGAAGGAAGAACCATGCAAAGATCCTTTTTAAAGAATCCCATTCAGAGCAGATCTGTTTTCATTTACAGTGCTATTTACATGGTTTAAGTGTATGTTCTCATTTATCTCATGCCAAAAATCTAGATGATTTAACTTTTGCTCATTTCATTGTTTTCCTTACTGAAACAGTTTGTCTCTGTAGTAGCTTTGGATTTTTTTGTCTCCATTTTTATTTACCTTATAAGAAACTGGAGGATTTTTAGTAAATGGGTCATTATGTCAATACTAGGGTGGAAAAAAATCATTACTGTAGAGAATTCCAATTTTGTAGAATCACAATTGACGTCAACTGTGTACATCTGTGCCAATTCTTCATATTTGAAATATTTTCATATTTTTTCATATTTCTCAAATTCATTTTGAGAATGCTAAATATATGTGGGAGAGGATGGATTAGCCTATCTTTGTTGATAGAATATGGCTCCTGGTAAGCTTTTGATTTTTTTGTTAAAGGTTTATTTTGCAGCATCACAATCATATAGTATGGATCCCCACTGGTACATTAAACCAGTTTTACATCTGATATATGTATCAATGACAACTGCTACTTAACAAAAACCTTAGTCCTCCTAAATTCCTATCATTAATAAAAATGTCTAAATTCTTAAATCATGTCTTTCAGTATGGCAAGGGACTTCATAGATTTGGTTTGTAAAGAATGAAAAAAAAGAAATAATAGTAATGTACTAGTTCTGAGGCTTTTCAGAAAGAAAAGCTTAATGCAGAAGTGAGATACTTCTGTTGACCAAGTGAACTGAATTCTGTGTCTTTCTACTAACCAACTCTTTTGCAGACAACAAAAGACATCCACTATGCTGGCTTTACTTTCTCAGTGCATGAAAAAAAAAAAGGGTGTTTAAAAAAAATTAAAAAGTGGATACAATGGTTACTAAAACAAACAGAGGAAGTTATAAATCTTCTAATCATACACAGGACAGATTGGACCATTATAAGTTCCAATATAAACTCTTCAAGTTTTCTTAAATAATATACCTAATAACTCTCCATGGGCAAGTAGGAAATCTGTTTTCAATTTCTTTTGCTTTTAAGCAAAAATATGACTTATGTTAAAGGAAGGTTTTTCTGGTGGGAGTTTTCAACCAAAAATGAATGCAAGTATCTTACCAGAAAATGTTCTTTGAAAGCCAGGAGGTTTTGTTGCAGTCACTGTTCAGGACACTGCCATGCACTGTATAAGAGTAGTAAAGAAGAGAAGAATAGATTCTGTCCAGCTCCTAATCAGAGTATAAAAGGAAACCACAGTGCAAGTGCCTTTTGAAACTCCTAAAGCAATTAGTCCTGATACCCAAATGTGAGACTTTTTGGCAGCCAAATTTTTTTTTTTCACTGGAGCAGATTGCTGTGTGTCTCTACTCAGTGAGAGTCATAACAGGATTGTACCAAATGCATCTGCTCTTAGCAGGAGCTTTTTGTAGCAAATAACCTCTGCAGGTATCTGAGAGCATGAATTACCTTGTAATCTTTTGATACTCTGGTACTTTCTTCTGCTATGGAATACTCTGGGTTGCACAGCCATGCTTTTAAAATGTGGACTCTAATTAATGACAGAAAAGAACCAATATTGAGTGAAATCAACAAGGGAGGTAATAAATTTTCTCCATTGGAGTGCAGTGTATCAGAAGAGCATTCAGGAAGAGACACAGCTAAAGCTAAGAGCACTGGATCTTTACAAAGGACTTCCCCTACAATCAGGAATTATTTCTGCTATCAAAAGCTATAAGCTATCCAAATGGAAAGTTCAATTTCTTAATTAGGAATAGATGGAGACATTTGAAGAAAATAATACCCATAGTTTTAAATCAGTCCTCTAGGAAGACGTGCACAAACAGTATAAGGAATACAAATTTTTATTTTTAGATGCTATTTATAGTTTCCCTGGGACTTGGTAGGTTTTTGATGCAATATGGGTTTATAGCCAGGAAAAGTCTGGAATATTACCAAACAGAAAGGACTTCCCTATATGTTAGTGTAATGTAGTGTACCAAACAGTCTGTTCAGAATTCACAAGTAAACTACTAAGGTGTAAAATATCTCTTCAGAATCTGAAGCTGCCTGAGGTTTTCCATTGCTGCTTTGTGTATAACAATGCACTAAGTCATACTTGTACACCTCTGGCAACTCAGGCAAGTGGCCATCAGGGAAGCAGGGGCAGAGTCCTTCTGGTGGGGGCAGTGTAGGCTTGGTTCTCCCCTGTACCCAGCGTGCTGCAAACTCTGCCAGGCTACAAAACTCCCAGAGGAACCTCCAGAGAACCCCTTGGCCCAAGGAAAAAGGCTGACCTGATATATTTTATGTCTTGTTTTCTGATAATGTGCTTACCATCTCATAAAACAGAAAAGCTTTAACTCGTGTTTTTGTGTTTTTAATTGTTTGCAGTCCAAGGACATTTATTGCACCCAAAACTTATGTTTAAAAACAAAAAATGGCAAAGCAGAAACTATGAATAGCAAGTTTAGCAATAAACATCCACATATCTGGTCCTATGTTAAATACAAACTAGCATGGCCACAGTCTCTTGTAAACTTCTCTTTCTTGCCTATTAAATAAAACGAAACAATTGAAATTTTAGATTGTTGCTATTTCTGAAATTGCATTTGAGTCCTGGTGATGTCTAAATACTCATGTAAAAGGAGTTATCGTATTTCAAAATAAGTGTGTAACACACTCTGCTCTGCCAGAAAAGTGATAATAGTAAACAATGACTTTCTGTTTTAAAGTACTCTCCCTTTAGGATTTATGGTAGGAAAAAGATTTCTTTTCTTAGTGTTTATGGCCTGTAATTGGCAAGCTTTGCATTCCCTTCCTTGGCACAAAAGTCTGCTTCAACTATTGAAAAATATTGAATAATTTTAGGGAGATTTACTGTCTTAAGCCAAAAATCTAAACAGTGAATCCATTAGAAGAGTTGAAGATTTTGAGAAAGATGTGTAAAATGAAGAAATATGACTTTGAAAGGGATTGGTTAATATAGTGCGTAAACATATATGTAACTGATCCTGCTTATTGTTAAATGTGTAATACAACCTGGGCAAATGGCTTTACAGGTGACAGTGTGTACATATGTACACTTGCAGTTGCAAAAAACCTTTTGGAATTGATACTTTTCTTCTCTGACTTTGTGGAATAGGATCTAGAGAAATATCAAGAAGAGACTAATGCTCTTTTTTCTCAATAAGTTGTCATTTCCATCTCTGCTTGCTTGCTTGTTTTACCTGCTTTGCAAGATTAACTCTTATTTTTCTGTGACAGGCACATAGTTGTCTGTGGTCACATAACACTTGAAAGTGTGTCGAACTTCCTGAAGGACTTCCTGCACAAGGATAGGGATGATGTCAATGTAGAAATCGTCTTTCTGCATAAGTGAGTAATCTTTCGACTTTGGTCTTATCCTCTGTTACTAAAACTCTTTAAGTTCAGCTGTATCTTCTGGGAAGACAGAGAATATTTAAAGCTCCAAATAACCTTAAGATTAATATTTGCATTTAAGTTTATTAAAAATATGTCTTGAGAAAAGTGGGGTTTTTCCTACATTTTCCATAACACCCTACTAAGTATATTTGCTTTAAGCAGACAGACTTCAGACCCTGTTGTGTTGTCTGTGAGGTACATAGCTAAATACATAGTTGAAGTGGGGATTGGATTGTGAAATAAAAAATACTGAAATGCAAATAGATAGCATCAGATATTTTTTTTTTTAGTGGTAAATATTCCTAGGGAAACAACCAAAATTAGTAGCATCAGTAAAACTAATGAAAAGCACTTTATGTTGTACCAACTTATGGTATCTGAAACATCTTTTCACCCTGGATCTATCTAGGAAAGTGCTTGTTTTAAAATGCAGAGTATTTAGAAAATGAAAAATATAGGTGCAGATTCAGCTTTAATATAACTGATACTTTACAAAGGTATTGACAATATAAATGAAATTCTTGTCATGGTGATAATCAGTACTGCTCTTTATTCCATTATATACGCATATATACACACACAGGGTATCTTGCCTTTTTCTTATGTGGAATTTGAAAAGGACTCTTAATGAGGTTGATGTTTCTTTCAGGCTCTACATGATGTGTAAGATAATAACAGTTTAATAACTAACACTATGCCAAATAACTAATACAATGCTGGCATTGTATTATTCCTCCCTCCTTCCTGGGGAGGAACTGCTAGAAAAAGCTACGTGATAGGAGACAGTATCTTTTCTGTTCTGTAATGGCATCTCTTTGGAAGAGTTGCAAGTTATAAGTGTTATTTTTTTTTGCATTCAGCAATGCATTCTGCACTTGTTGACAAAGAAAATTAGTAAAAAGTTAAGGATATTATTTGTGATGATCTAACAGTGAAAGCTGAAAACTAAGAATCAGCAGTACTTCTACAATTTTTTAATCTAGTCCTTTCAATTTGAACTAAAGATGACATCCTCAAGTAACTACATAATTTTTTTTTATTCCCTCTCTATGTAATAACAAGTGACTGTGAGAGGAAATCGGGGATCAAGATTTCCACAGTGAAAATGTGTGGTGACAGGAATCAGGAAACTGCACATTCACATGAAAGGAGTTTAGCACCTTGCTACTTGTTTGTGCCAGTAGCTGTTAAATTCCTTCTATTTTAATGAGTGGCACCAGAAAAGATATTTACAATTTTGGTGCCACATTATGTAATTGACTGTAATCCATTTGATTTTCTTTTGTTTCTGGCAAAATGAAATGAGGCAAAGCCATGGCATTATTGTGTTTGTTTTAATTGTAGTTCATAGAGGCCTCAGGGTCCCTGTCTGGTTTCATTTTCTGATTTTTAGAGAGCTTGCATTAAGCTGTTTTATTCATCAGAGTCAGCTGTTGTCGGAATGGTCGGGACATGCAGAGGATGATTGTGGTACTATATAATTTCTGGGTAGAATGCTGGGAGAGGATATTTTCAAATGCTTGCACCCATACTTCTGGATCCCTTGGAAACGTACACACAACAAACGTGGAGAGTAGCGCAGGGTGGGCCAGAAGCGCTGCAGCTGCAAGTAAGGCAGCAGTGTAGGCAATGTAGTGTTTATCTGTTAAGTAAGGCATGCTGCTTCCATGCCACAGAAAAAGCATCAGCAGAAGTCTGAATATCTGAAATAAATAAATAGGTGGGTTTGTAAATGCAGGAAATGGAGCAGTTATGGAAATTAACCTCTCATTTGCTCTTGTGTCTTCTTCCTTTTTCCAATGCAGTATCTCCCCTAACCTTGAGCTGGAAGCTCTTTTTAAACGACACTTCACTCAGGTGGAATTTTATCAGGGTTCAGTCCTTAATCCCCATGACCTGGCAAGAGTAAAGGTAACAGCTCTGTTGTTCTGTTCTGCTAATTGATTTTTTTATAAGTGCTCCTTTCATTATTTGGAAAAACAACGAAACACTAAAGCCCTTCTTCATGTAACCCCAAAAGAATGTTTTTCCATCTCTATTATCTTAAGTAATAAATTATATCTATACTGGTAAACCTTTTTTTCCCATATCTATAGATCTTCAAAGCTACAGCAACAGTGTCTTAAGATACATTGTCTGCCATTCCATTGAACACTTTATGAATTTTTCATTGACACTTCATTGAAAAGTGTATTTTACATTAATGTTTGATATAGCAAGATATTGTCTTACAGTAATTGCTTAAAGTGCTGTTGTCTTAACTTATCAGAACAATTTAAAAATATTTTTTCACCTTCCAAACCCTTTTTCTATTGTCTAGAATCCAGAAAGAAAAATGCAAGTTAAGGTTTTTGGTAGATAAAGTTAGATAGTTTGACTTATTTAGATATTTATTTTCTAGAATTTCTAACTGGTAAATTATTTCATTCTCTTAAAGCATGAAGTTTGAAACAAAAGAAAATTAAAGAAAAATCGAGTTGTCAGATACATAATTAACTTTTTTGTTTCTTTTTCCCAGTGGAATGTAAACTGGCTACTTAAGTCAATAATATTTTATTAGTACAGTGTAATTTACACTTTCTGGAGTACTAAGCATGTCTTTTGTCCATTTTGACTGCAGAAATTGCTTAAGATTTTTGTAAGCCAATGCTTACACTGTTTCAGTTCATCAGAGCATGTCCTAATTATGATCATAAAATCGTATTCTTATTTTGTGTTCTGTATTCCACCATTCTTTAAGTTGATATTTGGTTGTATACACTGGTAAATACTTTTGTCATCTGCTTTGAGTTCTGTAGAGCTCAGGTTTGTGTGAATCTAGAGGTCCTGTGGATAGATCAGTTGTCCTCCTGTTGCTTTCTAAATCCAGTGCTCAAATTCTAAATCAGTTCAGCCACCTCTTCCTGTCTTGAATAGGAAAGTAGCGAAATTCCCAAACAAAGCTGCAGGGATTGTGGGAGCACTGTGCTGATGCAACAGGAACTTCCGATGGATCTACAAGTCTAAATTCCAATATCTGGTTAGAAACTATTAACATTACCACCTTTGTGGCTCAGCTGATTCAGAGTAAGAGTCATCAGTTGAACTGCTGACCTGCTCTGATCACCACAAGCAAGTTTCAAGAGATTCTCTGTGTACACGAGAGTGGTCGTAATCGCTGGCATGAACTTGTGTTAGCCTAGAAACATTTTTGATTACCACTATTGAGAAGTGACACTCACACTCATGCAGCCAGTGCTGGATGCCTTGATAGTTTATGAGGAAGGAAGAGCTGGAAGGAGATGTTGCTTTATATGTTTCCTTTTTCTTTGGTGTCTCAGATAGAGTCAGCAGATGCGTGCCTAATCCTTGCCAATAAATACTGCGCTGACCCAGATGCTGAAGATGCCTCCAATATTATGAGGTAAACTCTGTAGTTTTAATAGCTTTCTGGTTCTTAACTCTGATTAGCTAATTTTATATCTGATCTGTTGCACTCAAAGAATACTGTAGATTTTTTTTTTTTTTTTAAGAGGACAAATTAAAAGATCCTCACCAATGTCCAGAGGTGAGAATACCTTAAATTCCTACCTCCATTGTTTCATCTGCTTTAGTGTGTCAGAAGAGATACTTGGAGCACGGGCTTTGACACTCATAGTCATTTTGCAGGAGCTAAGATTTGAGTATTCTGAGCTGAACGCAGAGAGGAAAGGGAATGCAGTCATGTTGTTGCAACAATACATGCATGAGTGCATGCACTGCAGGGGCTGTGTCAATGATGGGGCAGAAGCACCCTCAGTGCTTCATTCTTGCTGCTCCTACAAGTACAGCACTGCTTAGGGGGTAGCAGAGCATACAAGGGAGTTGTCTCCTGTCCCCATCCTGCTTTTTTTACACTGAAGACCAGGCATTGCTTGTTTTGATGGACAAGGCATTTACAGCATTAGGGACCACCAGATCTCCTCCTGCTTTCCTCCTTGTAGTCTCTGAAGGGACGAGATGAAACAGTCAGTCAGTAGATGGCAGCTAGAGTTACAACCAACCTAAGCCATTCCATTTTTTGTTTTGTTCATACAATCCTAGTTTTAATGAGAGCAGTCTCCTTTTTAAAATTAAAATCTCAGTCAGTGATTAATTAAAAGTTTGGCCAGTGTTATAAACAGATTTTACTGGCTTGTCAGATGTTTGCATGCTGTGTATGGAAGGAAGGGGAGAAATAAAAAAATGCTACTAAAGTTGCTCTTCTGTAAAACTACCACTGTGTGCAAGAGATGTAGATATCTGAGAAAGACACAAGGCTAAAATACACCTAGTTTCATTTTACAAACATAGTTTGAGTTGCAATGCAAGAAACTTTGACATTGATTGCATGAATACATTAAAAATATTCCGGTTGCAGATTGGTACATTCTTTGTAGATTTAATACATTTAATGTAATAAAATGCAAAAAAAACAAAAACTCTCTTGTGTTTTGTCACAATTTCATTTTAAAAAATTGAATGTTTAATTAAACAATTCAGCAAGAAATGGAAAATTAGAAGAAAGACTTGTTAAAATAATGCAATTTTTTAACGTTTCCTGTTCTAGCTTTGATATGCTTAAAAGCACCAGCCAGACCAGTAGTTTACAAGATACAATCTACAAAACACCAATGAAAACACTTATGGCATTCAGTCTTTTGAAACTCATGATTCCATAAGTCAGATATGTTTTTCATTGTTGTATCTTCTTTTTCTACCTTTAGGTTTTAAATGCAGGGCTTTTTCTTTTTTTTTTTGGTTGTTCATCTCTTTAATTTTGCTCAATGCTTTTTTTGTAGTACAATATCAATTCATGCATTTCTCAAACAATTTTCTTTCAAGCCAGTTAAAATCTATACACAGTTGAGTATATCTTGGATTCATTAAGTAATTTAGAATGCAGAAAATGTGCAGATTATGAAAGTAGCCCCATGTTTTATAAATTCCACATTCAGTTATCAGTTTTTGTATTGATCTTTGGATTAATCCATCAAAATTAAGATGAATTTGCATGTGCAACATAAAATCATTATTCAAGGTACTTAGATATGACGAATGTCTAGCAGCTATAGATAAATAATATGTGATAGGGCAGAAATTATTTTTTTCAGGCATTTATCATTGGGAAACTTGATCAAGTATGTTGATTCAAAGACATGAAGATAATCACTGAGGATGAGAATGATGTAACAGTTCCAACTGCATTGCTTTCCTAATGGAAGGAGTATCTGAATAGTGCTGCTAAAACAAGTCCCTTTTTCTGCAAACTCCATAACCATTCAACTGAATACTTCCTGAGGCTTACTGCTCTCTAGTACTATTTCTTACCTCACTTTGACTATGTGTAAATATTTCAAAGGTCTGACATCAGTCAGTTTGCTTTACAGGCAGATGAATAAGGAGGTACAGTTTTAATTGACATGTACAACATGGTAAAATAGAGGTATTTGGATGCATTATCCAACTAACCTATCAGCTAAAAGTTATTTTAATAGGTTTCTCCTTTTCTTTTTAGAGTTATTTCCATAAAGAATTATCATCCGAAGATAAGAATTATCACTCAGATGTTGCAGTACCACAATAAGGTAATCTGATGGCCAGTGTTTCTTCTCAGAGTTTTTTGCTACATTGCATTCACTCATACATAATTTTTCTAGTTCCAGTAACAGCAAGCATTTTTCTTTCCAAACTAAAACATTTTAATAAACCTTGTCATGTAATCCAGTTACAAATTAATTTATTTTTATTTATATATGCAAGGGACTTTATCAAAATCTTGGCATTTATGAGTTGCCTAGGATCTAATTCTCAGAGCTACAGTGTCCATAGTTGTTATTGATTCCAGATGACCTTTCACCACTTCAGTTCTGCAAGTTCTGCTCTTACTGTCTTATTGGAGCTTATTGTGATTTTTTTTTATTCCAGTGCGACCATGTAAACCTGAAATTGCCAAGCAGTAGGTATAAAATAGATAAATTTGTGGTTTTTAATATAAAACATAGCCCACTTGTGGGATTCGGTACTAAGAATATTGTGAAGTTCAAAATGGAAATCCACTTTGGAAAGAAATTTGAAAAAATTTGTAATGGTAAATTTGTGACCCTTAAACACAATGAAGTCACTTTATTCAATCCTGAGGTGAGGAAGTCCATAAACTGCTGACTAAAAGTGTTAGGAAAGATATATCAGATAACACAGTACTCATATGTGGCCTGCTTCTTTTATTAGCTCTGAAAGAATCAACCACTGCCCAGTGTTTGAGAAAAAGCTTGACTGGGTAAACTTTCATTTGATGAAATACACAATATATCTGGTACTAGGAAGGTTTGATAACACCTCCTTGTACCTGTAATCTGTTGCTAGAACAAGAGCAACTACTGTTATGTCCTATTCCTGTATGTTATGAAAGAAGCCAGTCTTTTTACAGAATAAAAGCAAGGACTTTCTCTGCTGTAAACAGCTACAGAGGGGAAGTTGTTTTTTTGGTTTTTTTTGTTTTTTTTTAAATACTGCAGTTTGTTTGCTATTCCAACAGTTATGTCTTCAAGAATAGCTTTTATCAAAGTGCTGAACTGTGTAATTAACTTAGGGAGGGAAACAAGGAGGAAATACTCAGTGCTTCCTTGTATCTACGCAAATGTAAAAGTTGCATGTCAGAGAAAATCCAAGTTATGCCAGTAACTGAGTAATATTTGTAGTTATCTAAGTTATCAGTTTCAATACTGCAGGTATGTCTTGCTCAGTTATTTGCTTCATTCTGTCCTTATAAATAGCATTCTTAGAAAAAAAGGTTTAGTTTTTCACTGTCAGGTACTTTTCTTCAAGGTGGAAGAAATTAAATAGAAAAGAAGATGTTGTATACATCTTAAAATTCTAGTATCCTTTAAAGCTTGCAGCCTCACATAAGTTGTAGTCTAAGTTGTATTAGCTTCTTGTATATTATGTGTGTTCCTCATCAGTCAGGCAGTAGCTCAGTGCTGTAAAAGGAACATGCAGAAGGAAAGGAAAGCTTTACAATATTCTGCTTGGTCAAGTGTGAGGATGGACCTGACAGAGTGCCACAGCCAGCATGTCTTGAGAAATGTAGCATTTTATCTCTAGTAGGTAAGAGTGGAACATTTCTCAGCTCTGAAATAGAATTAAGCTCTGAAATACTTGAAGTGCTTCTGCCTACTCAGAAAAAATCAAGGTATTAATAGAGAAAATCATTCAGAACTTCTGTTTCTGGTTCTTCACCTGTGGGATATTTTGTTTGTTTGTTTTCCAGGCTCATCTACTAAATATCCCAAGCTGGAACTGGAAAGAAGGGGATGATGCAATCTGTCTTGCTGAGCTGAAGCTGGGTTTTATAGCCCAGAGCTGCCTGGCACCAGGCCTTTCAACAATGTTAGCCAACCTCTTCTCCATGAGGTCATTCATAAAGGTAATGCCTTGTCTCATTAGAACGTATTGGTCTGCAATTCAGGTTGTCAGAGACTGTAGTAGAGAACGTGACTCAAATGTGAAACAGATAGAAAGACAATAACAGATTTTGTAACACCAAAACAGCCAGCATACAGTTCCATGCAAAAGTTTTGTGCTAAAAATTGGGCAATAAACCAGGTTCTATCAACTTGTGGGTTTTTTCTTGAAATTTTTATTCAGCAAGTGTCTGGCCTTTAAAATATTTTCCAAATCATCATCCATTTCCAGGGAGATATTTTTGGCATTTTGTGTTTTTTCTTGATTTTAGACAAACCACATGTTTGTCTATTAGAAAAGTTGCTGCTGCTAAAACAAAAATATGATTTATCTAAGTCCCATGTAGCAACAAAGTCCCATGTGGCAACAAAGTGCCAGAAAAAGGGACTGGTCATTTTTGTCGTTTACTTTAAGACACTAGTGGACCTCTGACTGTGAGTAAATAAGGAACATGTGTTAGAGCTGAGGCCCAACTTCCCACAACATCATTCATGTGTTTGCTTCTCCTCAGTCTAAGAGCTGTTTTAGACTTAGATTACAAAATTGTAACCCAGTTAGACTTCTGTGGCAGCTGTACTGGTTCACTGGACCAAGGCCTCGATTGCAGCAATCATTGAATCCTTCCTGGGGCATCTCAGGGACACTGATTCCAGACATAAAGGGTGGGCAATTTCCAGTCTCACCAGTGTTCTTCATGGGATGGGAAACACTGGAGTGAAAGGTAGGCTATGACCCACTTCAAGTCCATTGTGCAAGTAAGCTAAAAATAAAAATACCCTCATGTCCTCAGATGAGAAAGCCAGGACTGTTCTCTTATAGGTGCATATGTTGATGCATGACAGTGAGTCTTTATTTGCTTCTTATAAAGTCCTGACATTATTATGAAGGTATCCCTAGAAGACAGCAGGCTCCCATGAAGAAATATTTCATACTATTGCATTTAATTGAAAAAGATCAGTTTTCAGTATGGAAACAGGTCTGGGCTCTGCTCTTTACTATCTGCAGTTACAATATTTTCATCTTTATTCATGTTCTAAAAAAACTCAACTGAAAGAAAAGAAAAAAAAAGAAAGTTGTTTTACTTCAGCACACCTAGAATATGTCTGTGACTGTTCAGCACATGGCCAATTGGATATTAATCCTTTCTATCTGTATCCCAGAAGAAAACTGTATCTCTTGTGAACATCATTCTCCTTGCCAGTCAGTTTGATCCCTCTCACTCCTGCCTGCTGTGGTAACCCAAGACTCTTGGGAGTGTCAAACTTTTGTGACAGTCACACTAATGTATGCAAGTTACTGAGGCAGCCTGTTGTATGAACTCGGGCTCGGTAGCAGAGTACATGAGAAAAGTTTGCTCACCTTCTGTCTTTCCAAATCAGGAGGGGTCAGTTTTCTCCTATGGACATCCAAATATGTGCGTATCCTCAGAAGCCTCAGTCTTAATTCAAGCTATTTTAATACTGATTTTAAAAATGAGTGAAAAAGTTGAGAGATTCACAAAATGATGAAGTGTACAAATGTCTGACTGTGGAGGAACCGTACTAGAAATACACACATATATGGCCTGGATTTTTATCTAAAAACCTTTAAATAAGTCAAAACCTGGATATGTACAGGTACCGTGTTTCCAAAAGTTATATCTCAAGACTTCTGCCATTATCTTAGCCAGCTATGTTTTCTTACTTTATAATACATTTTTATAATAGTTCCTGTACAGTTACAGATTAAATCTCATTGAAACAGTTTTAAGATGAAGGCACAGCTTTGCAAGGCGTTACTCAAATTACATCTGAGTATTTCTCTGTACACAGAATAAGCATAAAAATAGCAATGAATTTGTCTTGGGGAAAGCTGTCATTGTCAGTTTTGCTGGTGTCTGATTATATACAGTTATAAACAGAGTAGTGTGCAGTCATACCTTAACTTGTGTGACTTTAAGTGTCACCTTCCCATGGCACTGGGGGGAAAAACACCATAAGAGAGTGCATTAAGATTGCAATACTCTATTAATACTGGTTAAAAATATGTTTGCCACATAATGAAGAGTGAATTTTCTAGGAAAATAAAATGCATATCTTCACTCCCAAAGATCTCTGACTAATTCAAAATCTGAATGTTCTGATTCAGATTTTTATTTTTCAAATAAAAGTACAAGAATTGAGACACGTTTCTTTATGTTGCTCTAACCCTATGGGTGATAACAATTGGTTTGTTTATTTAGCTGAAAGGATGATCTTTCTCATGTCTGTCTAACCCTGAAAACTTGAAAAAGAAAACTTACTGAATAGTGGCTGTGAATCATCAGTGCATTGTAGGAGAGCAGCTACATTGATTAGAAATGCTGAAGAGAACTCTACTGAAGAGAAATATGTCCATTCCCTAAAGTAACTTTCACCCTTTTTCATTAAGAGCATTCAATTTAAGTACTGTCAGACCTTCGTAAATTCCTTAGGTAAACATTTTTAGTGGAGTCTCTCACCAGTCATGAGATTGCCAGGAAAATGTATGGAAACTTCTGTATTTTCTAATGAAAGCTTGAAATGTGGGTTTGTTCCGCCTCCATAGCGTGATTAGAAAGTGATTTAATGTGCCATAAATGTTTGGTCAGTCAGACACAAATGAACATGATTGATGGTGACATTGCACACATTTAACTCATTATGTGTTACTTTACAGCAAAATTATTTGTGTAAACAGTCTGCTCAGTGTTAGAAGTAAAACAAACTAAAAAACCTCAAAATTTTATGTTTGTTCCTAATATTTTCCTTTTGGTTTTAGCAATGTAATATCATGTGGAATCCTTTATATTCTTTTTGGCACCAAACTGAACAAAAAGGAAATCAGCTCAAAAAGACTAATGTTCTGTAAACACTTAAAGACAGATAGATTGCACCAAAGTATATGCTAAGGAAAAAAAACTCTGCAAAACTTACACCTGTAAACTGTATTTTAATAATCCAGTCTTCTTATAATACAGACTGTTACTGTTGTATTCAAAAAGGAATTTGGACTCTTTATTTACTTGTACAGTCTGAGGAAAAGATGAAAATATTTTACTGTATTGCAAATTCTGTATTGTTTGAATTAGTAAGTGCATACCAGAAGTCTGTCTATATGAAAAACATGGCAAAAACCAGATACATCGAGTAATAATTGGCAGAAGTGATTAAATTTTGTACAGGCCAATCCTACAGGCCAATCTATAACCTACAAGCCAAGTTAGTACTTTTGTATAAATTAATAAAATGTGGAATGTGGTACTTGAGTGTAACATAAGTCCACAGCCAAATTAGTTTTGTCTTTGCTCCATAGGTAAGACAGCCAGTACTCCTCATTCCAGATATCACAATTATCTAGAGCTGTCTCTATTATCCTCTAAGCTATTTTGAGAGCAGGAGTGTTTTGTGGGCTCTTTCAGCAGCTTTTGCTCACACCTACACGTGTGCAATGTCCACTTAACATTCCTTTCTAGTCCAAGCTGAAAGAGAGACATAATAAAGCCACACAGATTTACATCAGTTGGGTGCTTACCTACACTGATGGAACACATCTACTTGTTAGCTCTTTATTTTTGACCACCTAGGCAGCCTTGGAATATTTCAAAGTGTAGAACTGGAGAATGAACAGTGAATTCCTTGACATGTAGGAGGGCTTTAAAAGAGGAGTGAGAAGGAAATGCAATGTTTCAATTTATTGTGAGGTTCTTCAGGAAGCTGCATAATAAACTAATTGCCTGATCCTACTCACAGGACCTAGATCAAATATTAAATATAGCCTGTTACCAAATACATTTATCTTCAGAGATCATGTAAAGATCTTCCTGACTGTAGTGTTTTTAAATCATTGATTATAGGAATTAAAAACTGTTGTGGTTTAAAACTGTTTGCTGTGTATACATAGTATCAGTCCTTGTGATAAGAGTGTATTTGTCTTGGACTAAAGTCTACCATGGGACTGCATTTTCAGTCAATCATTTAAGCAGATCAACACCAGTCTATCCTTCATGTCATGATTAGATAGAAGTCTTGCCCTGTATATTTGAAAGTATTAGAAGTAGAGCCTGTATCCCTTTCAGTTCAAATCCAACAAGGCCACAATCTAAAAAAGAATTGGATGCCATTATATTTCAAGGATACTCTCTCTGCCTTGACTCACTACAAAATTCTACTTTGGTATTAATGGGGAAAAGTGCATAAATCTCACTTGAAATTAGAACTAATCTCATTTAGCATATTTGATGTTTTATAAAATATAGTATTTTTATACAAATTTTAAAAATCATCCTTCAATACAGAAAGCTGTGGAAATAGTTGACTGAGATTGTAAAGTCTTCATAGTACTAAGGATATTTGTTAGCTTTGATTTCAACAGACAATGGAATTGAGTAAAGAGGTAGTTGATAATTTATAATAATTAAGGAAATGCAATTATAAGACTGTAAATCTAAGAAGCTTCACTCTATGATATGACAATAAGAACTGCTTTCAGCCAGTTACTTTTCTGTCTGATTTAGATATCCATATGCAAAGACATAACAAAACTAGACATTCACTCAAATGCTTTGGGTGGACTGAAAGGGCATTATAGGTGAATAGGAGGAAATCTTTTAGTTACATTACTTTCACTGTACATATCCTTTTCAACTACCAATCAAGAATATTCAAGGTCATACTGAATTAGGACAAGGGGTTATGGCTTTAAACTGGCAGAGGGCAGGATTGGAATTGGTATTGGGATGAAACTGTTTACTGTGAGGGTGGTGAGGCACTGGAACAGATTGCCCAGAGAAGTTGTGGTTGCCTCATACCTGAGAGTGTCCAAGTTGGATGGGGCTCTGAACAGGCTGGTCTAGTGGAAGGAATCCCTTCCTACAGCAGCAGGGGTGGAGTGAGACGGTCTTTAAGGCCCCTTCCAGCCCAGACCATTGTATGGTTCAGTGGGTACTTTCTTTTCATTCTCATCTATATTGTTTGAGACAGAGAATTGTAACATTAAACATCCTCAAAGGCTTTGTCCTGTTTTGTGCTCTTTCCATGGTGGTGAAGAGCTGATCTTATTCAGTGCTAAGGAGCAGACTTGGCATCTGCATTCACTGTGCTATAAAGGAATTGGATATCCACCATCCTTAGCCTTGCAAACTGCAGTGAAAAATCCTAGGTCAAAACGCAACTCTAGCATTTGTTCCCTGTCTTGGTAGTGGTACTTAGATCGTGGCAGAAGAGATTATATAGCATGATCAGGTTCAGATACACTCAAATCTCTTTCATGTAACCATCATTACACTGAAAAGCCAATGCTGTGAGCAAGAGAGTTCTTTTGGAACTGCAGAGCCGGGCTCATTCTCATCTATATTGTTTGAGACAGAGAATTGTAACATTAAACATCCTCAAAGGCTTTGTCCTGTTTTGTGCTCTTTCCATGGTGGTGAAGAGCTGATCTTATTCAGTGCTAAGGAGCAGACTTGGCATCTGCATTCACTGTGCTATAAAGGAATTGGATATCCACCATCCTTAGTCTTGCAAACTGCAGTGAAAAATCCTAGGTCAAAACGCAACTCTAGCATTTGTTCCCTGTCTTGGTAGTGGTACTTAGATCGTGGCAGAAGAGATTATATAGCATGATCAGGTTCAGATACACTCAAATCTCTTTCATGTAACCATCATTACACTGAAAAGCCAATGCTGTGAGCAAGAGAGTTCTTTTGGAACTGCAGAGCTCCTGATCATTACACTGCTGGGTGTAGGGCTGGGTGTATTAAAAGTTTTCATTTCTTCTGACAATACTAATGGCTGTGCTTGCAAGAGCTACATCACTTTTTCCTATATCTGTCACCATGTCTCACTAGGAATTTCTTCTATTATGTAAATATATTTACTGGTAACAATATTGTATCTATATATAAGATAGAGGAGAGCAGAGGAGTATTGTGACTTAAAAAAAGATTCAGATGAAAATTGCATTTCTTCTCTTGGATTGCATTATGTAATTTTCCAGCTATTCTTCATATAGCCTATTGAAGCAGTGGCTAATTTGTTTTATGACAGAATTGCAGTGTGACTTAGGGAGTGATAATAATGTTTGCAGTACTAGAGAGGAATCAGGAAGATACAGATTGAAGTTGTTTTGGTAGTATGGCCCATCCTGGATTGGTTCCATCAGTTTTAAACTTCAAAATATCATCACAAAGGCTTAAAATAAGGAAGAGCATAATTACTCCTAAAGTATTTTTCCTCACGAAAGATACCAGGCAAGTGACCATCTGTCTCTTTGAAATCATTGGGAAAATATCATGGTTCAGGTGGAGATAAAACAGAAAGATCATCTTTGTCTTTCTTTGCAAACTGTTGCAATCATCTTATAATAATATTTTATAGCAAATATCAGCAATTCTTTAAATTCTATAATCAACATTTTGTGGTATCCTAACAGATCATATCTTAAACACTCCAATCATTTAACAAAGTTTAATGTAATGCTAACTGGTGTCTGTGGAGGTTGATCATTGCGTTGGGAATGTTTGGTTTTTTCCAGTCCTTTCTTGGTCCTTGACTAAGGGTGAGCATTTAGCTATGGGCTGATCTGGAGTTCCTTCCTCCAAATCAAAACCATCTGCCTAAAGAAAAGAAAGCAAGGGAAGAAAGTAGAAAGTAAGATATGGAATGTATTTGTATATTTTTTTTGCAACCCCAGGTGGTGTCAATGTAAGAAAAAAACCACAAAATAGACCAAAAGTTACAATCATGCCCTTGCTATCATTACTCTTAGTTTTTTACCAAGCCTGGACTTTATCTCTCTTCTGTATATAGAGTTGCTGATCAGCAACATTTGCAAGCTTCCTATAAATAAAAGAGTCATAAAAAATGTGATATGGCTTCTCTGTGTGTGGTAGGAAATAACACAATGCAAATCCCTTTTACCATCCCACATGGCCTCTGAGTGGTGAAACAATTTCTGTGGAAGAAATTTCACCTGATTGTTTGCAGCCCACTTGTCAGGCTGTATATGATTTGGAACATCTCCATATTGCAATTTATTCTTTCAGTCGTTTGCATCTCCAGAACTAAAGCAACTGATTACTTGGCAGCCTGTCAGCAATAGGAGAGGGGAATAAAACAGCAACAACAAACAACTAACCAGAAAACCAAAACCAACCAAACAAACAAAAAAGGCAAAAATCCAAACAAATTTAAAAAAAAAAAAAAAAAAAAAAACCCCTAAACCCCCCCCAAAAAAAAAAAAAAAAAAAAAAAAAAAAAAACCCCTAAACCCCAAAACAAAAAAAAAAAAAAAAAAAAAAAAAAAAAACCCTAACCCCCCCCCAAAAAAAAAAAAAAAAACAAAAAAACAAAAAACCAAAGAAAACAAACAAAAAAAAACAGAAGTGGAAAAAAATAGTTGTAACTTACATTTCACCAGGCTTCTTAACAAGTTTCCATCCTCCTGTACTTTAGAGCAATTTTTGAAAGAGTGCCTTTTGGCTAGTTCAACATGAGAAAAAGATTGACGAACCCCAAATTAATAATCAACCTGTGGAATAAAAACACAAACTTATCTAAAATGCCATATTGAGTCCTGTCAGAATATCTCTGGAATACTGAAATTTGAAAACTTGAAATTTTTTGGTCCAAGAGAGTCGCAGGATGGCAGAATATCTTGAGTTTGAAGGGACTGACAAGGATCATTGGTTCTGACTCCTGATCCTGCTCAGGACACCCCCGTGTGCCTGAGAGCGTTGTCCAAACACTGCTGGAGCTCTGTCAGGCTGCTGCTGTGACCTCTGCCCTGGGCAGCTGTTCCAGTGCCCAGCCACCCTCTGGTGAAGAACCATTTCCTGATATCCTTACCTCCCCTGAGGTATAGGCTGTTCAGCCTGGAGAAGAGGAGGTTGTGTGGAGACCCTGTAGCAATCTTCCAGTATCTGAAGGGGGCTGCCGAGAAGCCAGAAGGGATTCTTTGTTATGAACTGTAGTGATAGCACAAGCAGTAGTAGGTTAAAACTTAAAGGAGAAATTTAGTCTAGATATTTGAATAAATTCTTTACTGTGAGAGTGGTTGAACGCTGGACTAGGTTGCCCAGGGAGTTTGTGGATGCCCCAGTTTGGGCAGCATTCAAGGCCAGGTTGGATAAGGCCTTAAGCAATCTGGTCTAGTGAGAGCTGTCCTTCCCATGGTAGGAAGGTGATCTCTAAGGTCCTTTCCAACCCTAAAGATTCTGTGATTCTATGATTTTTAAAAAGAGAAAATTGGGAAACTTTTTCCTCATGCTCTCTACAACTTTATTTCACCCCATGCTCAGTGTGCTTGACAAGAATTCAGTGTATTATTTTTGCATATGATACTTGATTTGCTGACTATAGGGACTCTGTTTTGGTTTTTTTTTTTCAGCATTCTAGCAAATCCCTTACGAATAAGCAATGTTAATTGCTATAACACTATACTAACTTGTTTTAAAATCTGATTCATGTTTAAGCAGTTGTTTGTAAATTTCAAAGAAAGCTGTGATTTTTACTCAGAACTCTGCATCTGTTTCTTTGGTTTTAGATTGAGGAGGATACGTGGCAGAAATACTACCTGGAAGGAGTTGCAAATGAAATGTATACAGAATATCTGTCTAGTGCCTTTGTGGGTTTGTCCTTCCCTGCAGTTTGTGAGTAAGTAGAAATACATTTAATATACAGAAGTATTTCCCTTCTTGCAAAAGAAATCTAATTTTTTTTGCATGAGGCCTTTTCACTCTGCTGAAGTCCTAACGTTGCTATGGTGTCTAATAAAATAAACATTAATGCAATCACTGCATGGAAGTAGCTGAAACATTGTAATGCCTGGTTTCAGGAGAGATTTGTAACTAAATGATTGTAAATGAAAGCATAAATGGTTTTGGTTTGAACGATCTCAAATGAATTTTTAAGCTTGAATTTTTAAATTGAGTTATTTACTCACAAGCTATTTATTCCTGTTATTTTTCTGTGGTGGTCAACATGACCATCTTGGCTTGTGTTCCATTCCAAGAAAATATTCATTAATTTAAACAGATGTCGTGGGGTCATATAAGCAGTGTGGCACCCAGAGCTCTGTGGAAGTGGTTGAAAACCCTTGCAACAAGTAAAATATGTCAGAGAAGATATGTCTGTTCAGTTATGAGAAAGAAGCACACAGTACCTAACCATAGTGTAAGCCATGTGACAGCTTCATTTCTGGACACTGAAAAATGCTTAGCCTAGAGTGTGTCTGTGAACGAGAGATTTGTATGCATAAGGTTTGTATAATAAGTACTGTGTCCACAGGTTAGTTTAGCACACTCATATGTCCTCTTTGCTCTGTTCTTAGAGGAGGAAATAGATGGAGAAGTAAAATACAAGCTCTTATGTAAAGGAGGATGAGTATGCTTCTACTCCTCTAACTTCCCCAACTTTCCCAGTTTTTACAGGAGCAAAAAGATGGCATTACAATGAGAGAGAAACAACTGTTAGACAAATATTATTCATTTAGAAATTGTCTGGGATGTAGCTGTGACAGAGCCCAGTCTTCAGTTTGCTGGTAATGTTAAGGGGCTCTCAATCCATCCTTCTCCTGTGTCAGCCAAACTGTGTTGAGATTACTGAGGGGAAACATATTTCACTATAGGGACAAAAGTTTGTGTGGGTTTCTTGAAACAGGATATCTCATAACATAATTCAGGAAAGTGTATTATATTCAGAATGAATGGTAGTTTGTGCTGTCAACACTAGCTACAATAATGAAAATTAAATCTCCACACCAAACCATTTTCAAATGTGTCAAGTTTCTATATGAGTTTGTAGGAAGATGTGACTGAGACTGTATTTAACATAAAGCTGACATTCATTTATCTGTGCTGGTAGAATGGAGATAAAATAATAAAGAAAGGGTGCTTATTGAGATTTAGAAACATGTCTAAACTTTGGAGCTCTCCTCATGCACTTTAATTAATGAGTTTAGTGCATAGATATTCTCATTACTTCAAGAATTGACTGCTCAATTTCCAGAAGAAGCAAAGACAAGGACAGCAAAATGTCCATTGCATTGGTTTTTGAAGGGGAAATTGAATCAGTGGATAGTCTTAGTGTATTCAGCTACCCATGAAATATATAGACTTTGAGAGCAGGTTTTGTAGTGTAGCTTTTAAAATTCATGCAGTCAATGACATTTCAAAAGTCTAAAATTAAATGAAATGTTCTGTTTCCTCAAGTTATTTGTCATAAATGCAAGTTTAGCAATGTGATTCTTTTGTAAATGGCCTGCCATACAGTCTGAATAACAAAGTGTGTGTGGAGACAGTGAGGATGGGACACTCAATATAGCTGAAAAATTTCAAGCTTTTGATGTCAACACTAGGGTGAAGAATTAGACAGAACCAGAAGTTAATATCAGTCTGCAAGTTCTATTTATAACTCCACGTGTGTGTACTGTGTGAATATATTCCAACCAATATATTTTCAAAATGTGAATGTAGTTCCTAATATTCTGTGCCCTTGGATACTGCTGGACCAGGTGTGGATGATGTTGATTGAAGATAAACTAACCAATCTGTCTCCCACTAGTGCAGAGCCTTCTAATATTTAGTAATGTAAGGCTAACCTTCAGCCAGGTTCTAGAGCTACCACTCTCTACCCCAAAATTCTCCCAAGGAGGGCAGCATATCTCTGCATTGACACTCGACCTAGCAGTGGGAGCAGCCACCTGTCCATATGTGCTATTGGTTGTGACAAGGGACTGACTCCTGGCCTCTTCTCTCCTGCAGACTGGTGTTTGCGAAACTGAAGCTCTTAATGATAGCCATAGAATACAAGTCGGAGAAACGTGAAAGCAGGTACGTCCTGTGCCGCCAGCTTCAGAAGTTCTCGAATGCACTGGCAAGAAGTTTAGAATTTTGCCTGCTTTTTTTTTTTTTTTTTTTTTTTTTTTCAGAATGAAAAAAATCTATCTATTCTTTGAAGCATTTCAGAATGTAATTAGCATGCCATCGCATTGCAGCATCTCACATAGCACTGAAAGGGACTTATTTCTGCCCTCTTCCTACCTAAAACCAACCCAAGTCAGAATGTTTAGTAAAAAGTGCTGTAGTACATATGTCTCATCTCCAGGAGTGATTTTACTTACAGAAAAGCTTACAATTTTTGTGTTTATAGCATATCACTTTTAATGAGAGGTCCAGCATACACTACTGAAAACAGAAAAGTGGAAAACAGATGTGGTATCAAAATTCATTATGGCTATGTGTATTGTCAAAATACAAATTTCATTTAAATTAGTTTGAGAGAACCAATTTAGATATGATACAGGATAAACAGATATAGGGTAAACATAATATTTAAATCATATATGATCTGACAAAACTTACATGAATAACATCATGAAACTGGAAAATATTAGTTACCAATTGGCTGGCTATTTTTGTTAACCAAAAAGAAAAAAATATCATTATTTTTAGTACAGATTCACAGATGGGAAGTGTTTCTTGCATTTTTTTTTTTTGTGCAAAGGTTCGTAGAAACATGATTGAACAATCAAGTCAGTGTTCCATCAACTTGTCCATTAATGCTTTAAACAATATTTATGTTTTTGTAACAAAAATATTATAAATGTTCTCTGCAACATGTGGAGGGTCATATAAAAAAATATGACAATACTGACTCTGAGAGAGGTTTGATTTTCCTCTTTCACAATTACATTTTGTACTGCTGTAGTAAACCTGAAGTGACACATACTAGTTCATCTTCTTTTTGGCCACTAATTACGTTTTTGTGGCCAAAGGGCGCTTTTGAGGACAATTGCTTCTTCTCACAGGAGAACCAATTCTATCAATTGGACTCATTCTAAATTTCCTGGGATTTTGAAAGTTTAATACTTAGTAGTAACTCTGATAATTTTTCTTTATTAAAAGAATCTATAAAACCTGTGTTAGGCATTTGACATGGAAAAGGAGTGTAACAACTATTTATGAGTATTTCCATGCTCTATAGTTGATTTTGCTGGATTCTTCTGTATGTTATAAAATGAAATGTGAAGTGGTGTATGTACTATTGGATATTATTTTTGTTCATACTATGCTGATTAAGAAATCCTCTTTTTTTTTACTATCAGATTTTTTTTAATGTACTTAGGCCCTTTGGACTCTTAAATTACTTAAATTGTAAGTTCTCATTCTGTATCAGCTCATGTAAAGCAAACAATCTATTCTTCTGTCTAGGAACAATTTAATCTCTTGCTAGAAAAAGGAAAAATACAATAGCAACAGTAGTGGAACAATTTGCCAGATTTTGTGCCTTCAGTATTAAGAAATATTTGGTTTCTGTTTTTCTTCTAACAAATATTGGCCAACTTTATATTGCCATTACTTCAGTTGTCATTTACTTACATAAGTGCTAATATTGCAGTCTTTCACAGTCATAACAGATTGTTCTTGGCTTCCGTATCATTCTTTGCATTAACTTCAGTGGGAGTTGGATTGAGATCTTAATCAAAAGGTGATGCAGAGGATCCCACAAAAAGCAAAACAGTGTGGTACAATCATATATTTCTTACTTAAAGCCACACAGGTAACAGTTTGAAATAATTATTATAGTAGGGAAAAAAAAAAGCCTAAAATTGCTGGAAGCAATGCTAACAAAGAGATATTAACAGCTGGATTTGTTGAATATGTATGTAGTAAGAGGAAGGCATGTAAGGTAGATAGTCACATTTTCTTATAACACTGATCCACAGCAATATCTGCTGATTTTATTAAGCAGTGATAATGTTATAGTCACTGTTTGATCTATCACAGAGCTACCTGCAGCATATCTTTACTGCTCTACTTGTTCCTGTGCTCTTCAACTCAAATATGTTAACTAGACATTTGTGGTTTACTGATCCTTTAGTCAAACCAGAAGGGTAATGCAACAAAACTTCAGTTTCTCACCTCCTAAGTATACTTGCATTTCCATGCATCTTACTGGATGAAAAAGTGAGGAATTAAAATAAAAGTTAGAATAAAATAGTTTTGAAGCACAAGCTCTTTATGAACAATGTAAATTTGTCATTTGTCACTTCTGTTTGTTGATGCTGATATTGGAAGTATTTTATTCTGCTCATATCGAAATTTCTTCCTGGTAATTCTTCATAAAGGTGAAGTGAGAATTGACTAAGTTTTCAGTCTTTATGAGAGTGACAAAAAGTAGATACATGCTGATTTATTTTATAACTATACTTTGCATTCACATTTTGTAAAACTATTATGGAAGAAGTTTTATATAATTTAAAATTTAGAGAAACAATGTTAAATATAACTAAAAATTTAGAACATTTTGTAGATGGCACCCTTTCATTAAGATCTAATACTTACTGCCATAGCTGAGAGAGGTCTCAAAGCAGTATTTTAAGAGGCAGAGGAAACTTTCAAAGCATTCTTTCTACTTAAAGGATGAGATCTTACTTCCCCCTTACTGTTTAATTTTTGTTGCTAGTCATAATAAAATGCCTATATCATTAAATTATATATCGGATTTGTTACTTACACAGGGAGTTTCTGTTAAGAATTTGCCATTGCAAATTCAGAGCTAAAGCAGTGAATAAGACTCAGGAGTGTATGCAGCTCTAAACAGTAGTAATTTTAGAGCATTCTAAATTTCCTAACCCTCTCTTTAAATTTTCAAAATTTAATTTTTTTAAATCAGTCTGAAGGATAAATACTAGTCCCATCCCATTGAATGGCAGACTTTTATTTGTCTGTTAATATCTTCATTAGATGTAGAATGGCATAAATACTAATTTACATCTGCATGGTTTTTTTTGTCCAGGCAGCCACCTGGATTCTAGTTTTCTAAATCTTTCTGATTTACAGTCAAATTCTGTTAAATCTCCTGTAGGGAATTTGAAATCAATAGTAATTAAAAATTATCAGAACTCTATCCAAGCTAATACTGCTGTACATGGTAGTGGCAGCTGAGCTTCCTGCCTGCAGATGTTTTTTTCCTTTTTTCCTGACTACCAATAAAGCTGCACAAAACAGAAAGCAGGCCTTGATAACAAATTTTGTCAGTTTAGGTAGGTAATTAATAACAGTTATGATTTTACAGAATTGCTTAAAAGCCAATATTCCAGCCTAAATATAAGTAATATAATTATAAATATGATAAATGCATATTCGTTTTCATATCATGGATAGAGTATCTAGAGTATGTTTATAGTTTTACACAACTGCTTCTCATCAAGGTATCTTAAAGATTCATTAAAAACCCCATTATTAGATTTCTTTTAACCTTTGCATTTATATATTTGATAATATTTAAATAATTTGTCAGCTATCAAAGAAATCCCTGAATTTACAAAACTCAATTTAGAGTGTTTCTGACCAGCTATTAAAGTCTGCTCTGTAGTAACTGCAGCTCACAATATGAGTTAACCATTGCTTCATCTCTAATTGCTTTCTGGGAATGTTATAATCCGTGATTAAGAACAGGAAGCACTTAAATTATTTTTTGTCTCCCTGATGCAAGCCAAATACCATCACTTAAAAAATGTTCTTAGCTTATTTGGAGAGGTTTTGCTTTTTCTGTAGAAAAATGCAAAGGAAACATGGAGAACATGAACCTGAAAATATCCCAGTGTTAAATGTATAGCAAAAAATAACAGTTCAGAATGCAGACATTCAAACTCCTCATCTGAAATCCCTTTTAGAGAGATTTCTGCCTTCCTTTTCCCCTTGTATTTTTATTCCACATAACTAAGCAAGAACGAAAGCCTAACCAGGATTCTTCCCTCCTGCTCCCCATTTATACTCCACTTGTAAAATTTTCTCTTTGTCTATCCATATATTTGTTCTCATTCTCAGCAGAAAAACCTTTAAGCCTTGAAGACTTTTAAATAAAGGGTTTTTTTGCTTTTGTTTTGGTGTCAGTTGATTTCTTATCAAAGTGTTTGATTTGCAATTTTTTTCTTGTCGTTTGCAGAAGCCGAAAGCGGTATGCCCTCTTCGTTACCTTTCCTTCCAACCTCAATCCTACCTTCACTCCTTCTAACTTCAGGACTAATTCATTGCCAAGAACACAGGAAGATAACATCTTTGTCTATCTTTCTCTGTATATACACACACATATATATCTATATCTATTCATCTATGTGTGTGTGTATATATATATATCTGTGTATATATTTATATATGAGCCCCCAATCTCAAAGAGGAGAGAGAGAACAGCATTTTGTCTCTCCAGTGTTTCTTGTGACTCACGCACTAACTTCTTTGCAGGAAGTACAAAATAAAACAGGATTCATTTTTTAGGCTTTTTGTCCCCTTTGTGGAGTCATTGGTGTATCAGATTGTTGCATTTGAAAAGCAGATTTCACTGTTAATATCTCCTGTCTTCATTTTGACTGTATCATGACGATGTATATTTCGTCTTTACCAGCCCTTGTGCTGCCATATTGTTTTCATATTCACACCTTCATTGATGTCCTTCTTTCCCTAGAGTCTTCCTTCAAAACACGTCTTACAATATAGTCGTTCATGTTCTCTTGCAGTCTCATTTTCCATTAACAGCAACCAAATACCTGATTCTTTGCATTTCTGGTCCTGTTTTGAGTCCAGTTACTCATAATGCAGTACTCATTAAAGTTTTTGCACTGTTCCAGTGAAAGTGCCATGTATAGTTTGTATATGTCACATACATTTTAATGACATTTATTAACTCATTTATGAAGATGTTACTGAATGTATTTTTTTCTCAACTTTGTAGTTTTTTTTGAGATGGCATGTTTTGCATTTTCTTTGGTATACCATGCTGTGAGTCCCTCTCTAGTCTACATTCTATCATGCTGCTGTTGGTTTGGATG